CGGAGGTGATGGTTGCTCTGGAGCAAATTTTCACTCCTGCAGTGTGCCAGCCAAGCAAGTTTGGAAGAAGTTGATCGAAGGAGGTGGGGCCGGGGGGAAATTCTTTAAAAAGTGGATAATTGAATAGATTTGTGGATTCTGGGAATTTTTCTGGTTTTGGTTTTTTCTGGATTCTCGTGGTGGTGGATTTGGCGGTGGTGACTCAGACTACGTCACTGCGGAAACCTGGGGAAGATAGGGGACCTCTAGGGTTGAGGCGAGTGTGTTGGATAAAAAGCCAGAAGGTAGGGGTTTTAGGGGGAAAATGGGTTGATTTAGAGAAAAGGGGAGTTTTTAGTGGTTTTTGAAAAATGGTGTGTGGAAGCTGGTGCCATGACTCATTGAGCACTGCAAGGGTGCAAAACAGTAGAAGATGAGTAAGTGTACAGAAAGAGAGATATATTTTAGAAGTTCGGTTTAGAAGCTGATTTTGATTAAGCTGTTTCTGAAAAGATCCATGGGGTGATTCGCCGACTTTCGATGTTGTTTATTGGAATTAGCAGCCTCCGGCTTTCTTGGCTGCACAGCCGTTCGAGAAGTCACACGAACTAAAAGAAGCACAATGGAAAAAGAAAGAGGTCGAGACGTGGAGACTTAAAGAGGGCAGGGCAAAAAAGAGGTGTTTTATGAAACTATCAAGTCTCTTTAATCGTGGAATTGGAAGCATTGGACAGGGTTCTCTGGGGTTCCGCTTTGGGTGCAAATGCGCCAATGCAGCACAGCCATATCGCAGGCACATTAAGCTTTTTTGACACCTGTTTCTTTTTCGGGTTAGATTCTTTGGGGTTTTGCTGAATTGCTTACAAAGGCCACCGCAAAACAGGTTTTAGTGTTTTTTGGGTTTTGTTATCGGGCTGATAGAGGTGCACCCGGGTTTGTGCAACTTGGTAAATGCCTCAACGACTGGTCACTCGAAAGAAATGCCTCAACTGTGCCACCCCACCAGCTTCCCAATATCGAGAAGAAAAGTTCTGTAGAAATCCAAAAGTCAGTAAATCGAGGTAAATATTCAAATTGTTTAAAAAATTTGCCAAAATGTAACTTTATGTCCCGGCTTCATTCCGTGTGTTTCCGCGTGTCTCAGATATTTCACCCATCGCAGTCAGCTGTAATATAGTTCCTATTGATTCATTGACTTCTTTAATTGAAATTAAATGTGGTCTTTCTTTTCGACAATTGATACTTTGAAATTCGACGGATCGTGCTTAATCAATGCCTTTGCACCAAAAGCCCTTTTATCATCGAAAGCAGCGATTCCGCAGGTTTTGTGAATGGCTGCGAAATATGACGTAGTGAGTGCCTCCACTGTGAACCTTATAGCTTGGATCGCAGAGAACTGGAAACAATAAGCCAATCACGCAAATCATATAAACTGATGATATTCTCAACTAATAAGTCATAAATATCAAATGGTCATAATTACTCTTTTGGAGCTGTGTTAATCCACGATCCGAGTCACTACAATATACTCTACTACTACTGGACTTCCTAATGTTGAAAACCTTCGTAGATTATTTCAAGAGATTCCTCAAAACGTCAAAACCAACAGACAAACATAATTCTCACTTTCACCAAACCATATAACTCCCCTAAGGGCATCACAATACAGACTCTCCAGATATGCACTAGCTCATCGGAGATCTTTGCAGCCACCACCTCCAACAACCAACCCCGATTTTCCCAAAATACAAACCAACTCCCGAAAGCACCAAGAAAACAGTCCTCCACCTCTTTGTCCAAAACCACCACATCCCTCAAATTTCCCCATTTGCCGTGTGGTGTTTGTTGATGCACCCCCACCTAGAGCTATACAGGGTCCCAATTGCCGCACACGTTTCTGAAGGCATCTCCCAGTGAATCAGCACAACCACACCAAAAATACATATAAAAAGTAAACCACGAAAAAACGGCATTTCCAAATAATCAAAAAAATAATTCTCGAAAAACCCCCACCCCCTCGGCCCCCACACAAGCCTCTGAGACACTCCGAGCCACACAGGTGTATGCCGTATTCTCATCAAACATCAACTACATGCTCTTCTCGTTTGACGAGGACCCAGAACCTCCAGACCCCGTGGGGATCCCTATTCCCAAAAAGGAAAAAGATGCAAATCTCCTTCAGCCTCTGCTGATCAACTCGCTTCTGGTTTCGGCTGGACCCCACGATGGCTTCAAAACAGGGTCCTTCAAGGCAGGTTCCTTCAAAGGAGGCAGTTTCCAGGACCTCCACAGCAACACCGCCCGGACGCGGCGCCGTTCGTCCGTGTACCGCCGTCTTTCCGTCCGGCTGACCGGATCCACGGCAGGTATCACGATTCCTTCGGGTTATACAGACGAAAACGGACATAAAAAGAGCCTTGGTGACTTTGTTCCACTTAGAGTGTTGGGCCAGGGTGCCTACGGAAAGGTGCATCTTGTCAAGGATAAACACAACGGGCGGCTTTACGCGCAGAAACAGATTAGAAAGCCCCAGATCGATCTCCACGACGATAAGGGTGGAAACGATAAGGGAGTCCACGTGAGCCATGTCCAGAGAACCCTAGCAGAAAGACAGATCTTGACGCTGGTCACGCACCACAGCAATATCGTCAAGTTGTTCTACGCGTTGCAGGACCAGGACCGTTTCTACTTGCTTTTGGAGTACATTCCCGGTGGAGAGTTGTTCTACCACTTGACGCTGGGCAACGCGTTGGGCAATGTTTTCAAGGAAGACCACGTTGCGTTTTACGCGGCCGAAATGGCGCTAGGCCTTCGTCACTTGCACCTGTTGGGTATAGTGTACCGGGACTTGAAGCCGGAAAACTGTTTACTCAACGCTGCTGGACACCTTGTACTCACGGATTTCGGTCTTTCCAAGGCCATCTCTACAGACGACGACAGCGCGTGTCGCTCCATTATTGGAACTCCCGAGTACATGGCTCCAGAAACTATCAAAGGCGAGGCTTACGACTACGCCGTGGACTGGTGGCTGCTCGGATGCGTGATCTACGATATGATGACAGGCAAACCGCCATTCACAGGGAAACTGCACGACGTGATCACCAAGAAGATCCTCCTGGCCAAGCTCAACATGCCGTTCTACCTCTCGCTTGATGCGAGGGATTTGTTGAACAAGCTTCTCCAGAAGAAGCCCGAGAAGCGGTTTCAGGTGGACGAGAAGTGGGACACTTTCATGAAGCACCGGTTTTTCCGTAAGATCGACTGGCCCGCGCTCGTAGACCAGGACGAGTCCGTGGTGCCGCCCATAATTCCGACCATCTCCGACCCCGAAATGGCCGAGAACTTCTCCGAGGAGTTCACCTCGATGAAGGTGAGCGACTACGAGGTGGCCACTGCCCAGGCCAGTGGAAACGTCCAGGAGCTCTTCCAGGGATTCAGCTACGCCGCCAGCGGCAGCTACATAGACAAGTTTGGACAGCTCCGGATGCTCGACAACGATTTGAGCGTTTAGGGTGCGGAGGAACCTGGAACCGGAGCCTCTGATAGATTAATTTGATATTTATGTCGGCCCAACGGGCCGTTTAATATATTTATGGGAAGGACAGAGTGTAGAGGTACTAGTTTGGTATTTATCTAATGAGGAATTGAATGCTTCCATGGATGTGGTCTAGTGTTATATCTCATTGTCATTGGCTGCAAATCGAGGCACTTTTCGATCTTCAGATCTGTCAGATTACTTTGTACGCCTTCAACAATGAAACTTTTATGAGAATAAGTATTTTACATTGCAATTCAAATAAATAGATTAGTTAGCTTGCTCTGGGTTTCGTGGATCGTGATCTATCATATCGATTGTTCATATGCACCTAGACACCTTGTATGCCTGGTCCTTCTGCAGATCCGAATCGGACCAAATCAGTTTTTCACCATGATCAAGAGAATGAATGATTCTTACAAAGATGAAGACAGCGTTTATTTCTCACAATTATCCCTGGACTTGAACAACCCGTTTGGTATTTATTTAAAAGGGTGGTACACTTTCCCTTATCATGTCAGTATCCCTAGAAACGCATCCAAATCACATAACAGACATAAAACTTCCTTCAAAATCCAACTAGAGGAGTTTCAGCTTTTTGTATTCGTCAATTACCCGGTTTCGGAAGGCTCAATCACAGGCCTGCCGAGGTTCCGATAACAAAGATTAAGGGATATCCTGTGAAGTTAGACGAGGTACCTAACACCCGCGTCGCGTCCACAGTTCAGAAAACTGGATGAATTGTACAGACGTGGTTTACTTGATTTGACCAAATATCACTTTATCAATATTTAAAAAAGATGACAAAAAAACGTTCAAGTGTCAATTGAAGATGCCCTCCGACTTACGCATTAATCTACATTAAGCGAATGCTGGCTCGTGCGGCTCATATTTATGCAATGACGTGCAGCACATATATAAAGCCAGCATATCCTCGAGATTCTCAACCGTATACTACATTTTTTTTCTCAAGATGCAATTACTTCCTATCATAACGGGGATCTTCAATATATACGGGGCATTGCCCCACGGTCGCCATAGCGTGAATCCGCTAGATCAGTTCAAGGGGTTTAAGGCCTTCATCCCCTTTGTTCGGCTTTATGCATCTTTTCGTTTTGTGTTAAATGAAGAGAACGCTGGATTTGCTTATCTATATGTCCTAGCTGCCGGGATAAGTTTAGCCATCTTTGCAGCATCAGTCTGCTTCTTTTATCTTGTCACGAATGTATTGGTGAGGTATTCATGGAAAGGGGCCAGAAAGTACAACGAGCTGTTGCTTCTCGCGCTTTTCTTCATAATCAGCTTCCCAAACTTCAAGATTATCGAACCTATTGTTCACTTTAAAGACCCATACTTCGTCGCCAGCTTCCTTGTCACAGGCGGGTTTCATGCATTAGGATGCTTATACTTTCGCCACAATAGGGTTGTGAAAGGAAACTATCCACCGAGTTGGAATTTAAGTATTCATAATTGGTTTTTATTACTGATGTTTATTAACGCCAGTGCAAATTCGGGTGATATTCGTATTGCCACCACCCTTTACATGGGAAGGCTCATCGGGTTCGTCAGTCAATTGGCGGTGGAAACGGTCATCTTTTTTTATAAGAAGACGTTAGGAGAATGGAAACCAGCGGAGGAGCAGAGACAAGGAAATAGTACCAGGAGAGGAACTGGAGGAGACGGAGGAGACGACGATGATCACGGTGGATGGGGACCTAGGATTGTTGAAGAGGGACCCAGGATGGCCGAGGAAAAAGCTCCCGAGGCTCCTCCAAGTTACCATAGTGTTGTGAATCTTGGACTTGTCGCTTGAGGCGGTCGGTCACAGTGACCAATTCGACGTCCAGCTTTTCGATACGATTTTGGTATTCAAGGAACGACGGAACATAATTTCAAAGATCAGGGTGGCGATGGCATAAAGGCTATACTTCTGCTCAATTGGCTTTAAAGATCAATTATTGAAGCCATTGACTAGAAAGGATCGTTTTACGATGCATTGACGCTGATGTTCACAGAATAGCATGTTTCGCAGCCATCAAGAATCGGATCATCGCCTCTTAGGACAACTATCAGCAAGCCAGGAGAATATCGTGGGTTCCATAGAGACCGCGACTAATTCATTATTTCAATTCCACAGTACCTCGATTAGATATCATGCCGTCAGACTAAGAACATGTTAAGATCGCGCATATCAGTGTTTGACACACTCAATTCCCTAGTGTAAGACTAGGAACTAGCTTATTCTAGCTAAATGTTTAGAAAGAGGTATTCCTGAGCCTTCCTCCGAATTCGGAAAAGCACCTAACCAAGACAGGGATACACTATGGTTACGAGGCTTTGTGCCATGCCTAACGTAACAGCCCAAATACGAAATTGTTCACATAATCCAAGATATGGATGACAATAAACCACCGCACGGTAATCAATTTTATTTCGAAACAAGAAAAAAATTTCGTCAACGCTAAGAATTTTACGTTCCTGGAACTAATTTCCACTAATTCACCGACCTGTAGGCCGTGCGGCGCGTGCCTGCCTACCAGAATAGTACATAATCACCAGCATATCCCTAAAATCCTCAATTCTTTACCACATTATTTTATCCATGCAAATCCTCAATGTCTACGGAGCGAGACCCCATGGTCCTCCAAAGTCACGCTATTTCAGCAAGCTCTCATGGCTTGGACCTGTGGGTACTTTGCTTACAGTTTCTTTGACCATTGATTTTTATCTCAAAGCATATAATGTTCCAACAGACGGTAAGAAGGACAGAAGTACACCGGCACTCGTCAGTCTCATGAGCTTTTCTGCAATGATGGCTTTGCTTTATCTCTTGACGAATGTCTTGGTGAGACGGCAATGGAAACGTTTGAGGAAGTATAATGAGCTGGTACTTCTTTCTCTATTTTGTGCCCTTCTTATTGCTACAACCCTTACAAACACATGGGCTCCAAAACCGGCCAAATTCAAGCCGGTCATCCTCTTTGGCTTTTTGACTAATGGTGGGCTCCACGCTTTGGGGTGTCTATACTACCGCCACAACAGGGTTGTACGAGGAAACCGCCCTCTCAGTTGGAAGCTAAATCCGTTGTGGGTTTTCCCTTATCTCCTAGTGATGGAATGTTACTTTGCACTGAAGAAAAGAAACAGTGCCAGACAGTTTGCCCTAGGTGGAGCCGTTGGTGTGATTAGCCAGTTCACCGTAGAGACAGTGGTGTATCTTTATAAGAGAACGTTGGGAGAGTGGAGACCAGCTCTGGAGCGCAGAAAGGAAAGAAACCACAGAAGGGGAAGAAGAGGCGGTCGCAAGCCTGGAGCCTTCGCGAGGAAGGTAGAGGCTTCTCCAAACCCCGTTGATGATACTGTCCATGCCTAACAACAACTTTGGACGTTCTGGTTGACTTTGGAGAAGATAGCTTCATAATCACTTCTGTGGTGTTCAAGGACGATAGGGCCGATTCACCGGACTAGCTGGTCTGATTGGTGTTAGAGCCGAGGTAACGGTTCCAGCTAAGTGGAAGCCCAGGTCACTTACCAGGAGATCATTCAGGTGGTGGATCGTTTGTTGCATTGATTTTGAACGCTTGGTGGTGTTTGATCTGGAACGGTGGTGAATTGACCTTCCACGATGATGGCATACTTAGCTCACCATACAGCTGCCGAATTTGCAGCCATCGAGAATCCGTGCTTCACGGCTTCGGGTAGAAACCCGTCAAACATCAGAAATATACTGAATCTGCGTCAAACCAACTACCCCCTTTTCGTCAACTACACCGCCTTCCGGGTGGACCATCTTGGCAGTGCTGCGAGGTTCCATCCAGCACCACCATGCAACCAACATTCACCGAGTAAACAGCCTAAACATGAATCACAACACATAAACACCAACAAGTATAAACCGCAAACCGCAAAAAAGAACCCTCCCATAATCCCCTCTAAAATCCACACATCCAGTAGCACACCCACATCCTCAACACTGCCACCGCCACCATCACCACGCCCGTTTTGTGCACCGCACGACCCGCTTTATCTTGACAACAGACCCTCAGTCTCCGGAGGCAATCAAGTACAACCACATTATGGACGAATCGCTCATTGCAACCATCAACAAGCTTCAGGATGCGCTTGCCCCACTTGGTGGAGGTCTGTCGCTGCCTGTTGATTTGCCCCAAATCACCGTGGTTGGTTCCCAATCGAGTGGTAAGAGTTCGGTATTGGAGAACATTGTGGGTAGAGATTTTTTGCCTAGAGGAACTGGTATCGTGACTAGAAGGCCGTTGGTTTTGCAGCTTATCAACCGCAGACCGGGCGTGAACAAGGCAGATGCCGACAAGATCAACAAAACAACCGACAAGGGCGAGGAGCTGGAGAACAACTTGGAGGAGTGGGGTGAATTCTTGCACTTGCCCAACAAGCGGTTCTACAACTTCGAGGAAATCAGAGCGGAGATTGTCAGGGAGACGGACGCCAAAACAGGCAAGAACTTGGGCATTCTGGCGGTGCCCATCAACTTGAGAATCTACTCGCCCCATGTGTTGACCTTGACCTTGGTGGACTTGCCTGGTTTGACCAAGGTGCCTGTGGGCGACCAGCCCAAGGACATCGAGAGGCAGATCAGGGAGATGTTGTTGAAGTACATCTCGAAGCCCAATGCCATCATCTTGGCTGTGAATGCCGCCAACACCGATTTGGCCAACTCGGACGGTCTTAAGTTGGCCAGAGAGGTCGACCCGGAGGGATCGCGTACCATCGGTGTGTTGACCAAGGTCGACTTGATGGACGAGGGTACCGACGTGGTGGACATTCTCGCCGGCAGAGTGATTCCCTTGAAGTTCGGCTACATCCCCGTCATCAACCGTGGCCAGAGAGATATCGAGCTGAAAAAGACCATCCGTGCTGCCCTCCACGACGAATCCGCCTTCTTCGAGAACCACCCATCCTACAAGGCCAAGTCCCAGTACTGCGGTACCGCCTTCTTGGCCAAGAAGCTCAACAGTATATTGTTGCACCACATCAAGAGCACCTTGCCAGACATCAAATTGCGTATCGAGAACTCCTTGAAGCGCTACCAGAACGAATTGAGCGTCTTGGGCCCAGAGATGGAGGAGAGCCCCACTTCCATCGCCTTGAGCATGATCACCAACTTCGCCAAGGACTACAACGAGATCTTGAACGGTGAGGCTAAGGAGTTGTCCTCGCAGGAATTGAGCGGTGGTGCTCGTATCTCCTTCGTTTTCCACGAAATCTACAAAAACGGTGTCAACTCCATTGACCCCTTCGACCAGATCAAGGACGCCGACATTCGTACCATCATGCACAACACCTCCGGTTCTGCCCCATCCCTCTTTGTGGGCACCCAGGCCTTCGAGGTGCTTGTAAAGCAGCAGATCCACCGTTTGGAAGAGCCTTCCTTGCGTTGTGTGAACTTGATCTTTGACGAGTTGACCCGTATCTTGACCCAAATCATCAGCCATCCACAGTACTCCAGATACCCAATGTTGAAGGACCGTCTTTCACAGTCGTTTATTCAGTTTTTGCGTGAGGAATTGATCCCCACCAACAAGTTTGTCACCGACATTATCAGCGCCGAGCAGACTTACGTTAACACCGCCCACCCTGACTTGTTGAAGGGCTCGCAAGCCATGGCCATGGTGGAGGAGAAGTTCCACCCTAAGCCTCAGGTGGCCGTTGACCCCAAGACCGGCAAGCCATTGCCTCCTGCTCAGCAGCCACAGCCTCTGGCAACGCCCAAGGACGAGTCCAACGGATTCTTTGGCGGATTCTTCTCTTCTAAGAACAAGAAGAGATTACAGCAGATGGAGGCCCCACCACCAGTGTTGCGTGCTACCGGTCAGATGACGGAGCGTGAGCTGATGGAGACGGAGGTGATCAAGCTCTTGATTTCCTCGTACTTCAACATTGTCAAGCGCACAGTTGCAGACCTTGTGCCAAAGTCTGTTATGTTGAAGTTGATCACGAGATCGAAGGATGAGATCCAGAAGGAGTTGTTGCTGAAGTTGTACAGTGCGCCAGACTTGGCCGACTTGGTCAAGGAGAACGAGGCCACCGTGCAAAAGAGAAAGGAGTGCTTGAAGATGGTAGAGGTATTGAAGAACGCCAGCGAGATTGTGTCGAGCGTTTAATTATTTAGATAACTAATGATGACCTAGAAGCCGCACCCCCGTATCAGAACTCATAGACATTGACCAGAATGTCCGCATCGAGCAATGCCTTTTCGGTTTCTTCCCAAGGAACATTAAAGATACCGCTGTTGATTTTGGGCATGTTCACCACCGGCCTGCCGGTTTGGTCCTCCTCCACATCCCCCAACTCCCCCAATTTTCCAGCAAGATCCCCCAAACTCTGTCTGGTGTACTCCACGATCTCCCCCACGCTATTCTCAAAGTTACTAGTGAACAAACAAGCCACATACTTGTCCTCCACGGGAATCACATACGCTGTACCCAAAAGCAGGGGTCCGTTTTGCTTACAATGTTCAGCATACTTGGTGTAAGCGTCAGGGTAGCGTTTACGGAATTGGGCGGCGATTCCGCCACCCCACGATCCGTGGGGGTTACACGCATGAGCTAGGATTGCTTTTTTGACGGAATTGTGGTTGAAAAGGTCTCCTTTGATGTAGTTAAGCATGGTGGGTGGTAGGATGTCTGGGTGCGATTTGGCTGCAAACAGGTCGATGTAGGTGGAGGTGGACCTAGGAGGTATGGGTTTACATCAGGTAGTATAGGGAAAGATTGTGGGAAATGAAATTTGGTTATTGTCTGATGATGATTTTCGATTTGGCGCAAGTATGTACAAGAATTATAGCAAGTATGATGTGGTGTTGGCTGGGTTGGTGGGTCAGTAGAATGCGAAATGGAGGTACTGTAAAGGTGTAACTGCTGATTGGCTTGACAAGAGGGGGTTTTATGAAGATTTCGATAGTACTTCCTCGACAGATGGTTTAAACGAATCTCAAATGCTTGGAGTAGTAAGATAGTTGTTCATGGCTTTCTTGAACGTAATCTCAACCATCAGCATCCTCACATTTCCCCATGTAATTAGCTTGACAGCAGAGCAGGTCCTTTTATATCTTAACCCCCCAATCAATAGCTGCACCGCCTCAAAACTTAAAAGAAAGAGCCTCGCCGGGACTCTTGCAGTTCACTCCGTTATGCAAAAAGCCGTGTTCACAGCCACAGCCAAACAAATTGTCCACCAGCTGCTCAGCTTTGGGCGCCTCTTCGTACAGTGTCGCCTCGGGCGTGCACTCAAAGAGAATCTGGTTTGAAACAACCGCCGTTTTGAAATCCAGGAAACGGTCTTCTGGTGTCACCATGAAAAACTCAAGCTTATCGCCCTTTTTGAGCTTCGCCTCAGGAGAAATAGCCAAAAGATCGGCCTTGACGCCCCAGCCGCCGCCTCCAGCTATCACCTCGTACTTCTTCACGCCACTTTTCTGGTGCACCTTGACATACACCTTGGTGTCTTTGCTCTTGAGGCTCATCAAGGCGTCGTTGTTTTCGAGGAATTTCGCTGCAGGTACGTTGTTGATCTTCTTCACCAAATTGCCCGTGCACTGGGTGATTTCCAAGTTGTCGCCTTCGCTCAATGGGGTCCATCTGTCTATCGACTGAGGAGAAGAAAGCGCAGGTTCAAGCTGCGGAAGCTTCACCGTGAGTTCACAAAGCGTTTCTCCCATATTTTTATCGCCCGTTTTCTCCTGTAGCTCCTTTGGCTGGAAGTAGAAGAGCGTAGCTAGCGTATTTGTAGAAAAAGCAGTATTAGCCAACGACAAGTCCACGATCTCGTTTGAACCGACCCCGAGGCGCAAAACGGCATCTATGGTTTTCCAATTCTCTCTTGCACTCACAACATGGACGCCGTCGCTTTCCCTAGGCGGATGTGTATGGTCCTTCTGTTGGAGATGCACCAGTCCAGAAATGTCCATGTATTCGTCCAACCAGAGCTCCGAAAGCCCGCTTCTTACGCCGTTTGGCACCACAGAGTCCACGCCAGCCACGACAACCTGCATTTTGGCGATTTGGTGGAGACTGATGGCGTTTTCGATGGCAATAGGCAAACTGGAAGGAGTGGCAAGGAACAAGGCAGATTTGGCATTGAGGTTTTGCGGGGGTGAAAGCGTGGTGTTGAGGTTTGGGGTGACACGTGTTCTTGCAAAGAAGGCCGCCTGGCTCGTGTGTGACGTTCCAAACCGGCGGAGTGCTCCGAGTGTTGTATTCATGGGGTGTGGTTGATGAAGTGTTTGAAGGTGATAATTTCAGGAAAGTGAAAGTTTCCGAATTTATGCAAGATGAGGTTGTTGAATCGTCACAGGACAGCGGCTCCTGAGGTGTTTTGGTGTTTTTGGCTGGGTGGTATGAAAGAAGATGGTGATGGTGGAGTGAGATGGCTGCGAAATAGCATGTAGGCCATTGGTGTGGTGATTGCGGGGTGGTTCAATTTCTAAGAAATCATGGAGTTTTTTGAAAGTAGGCAATTCTGTAGAAATTAGATAGATTAGCCGGAGATGGAATTTTAAGCTTTCCTGGGTTTTCAGTAATGTGCGTCAGTTGGGCTCTTTGATGGATGGATTTGCACCCATTGTGGTATGATGCGAATATGGAACCAGACTACCTCATTTTACCAAAGTGATTACGGCTGAAATCTCGAAATGAACCAGTCTTCCATTGAAATCAAGAAGTTGTCTTCATGAAATTAATATCTGCATCCCGGTGACCACACAGGTATGAAACAGGCTGGATGTTTCAGATACCCCCACAAGTGTTTCATCTTCTGCACCACCACGTAGCCAACCATATAAAAGGCCAATTCCCATATACAAAGATTTATTTATCAATTATAAATAAACCCCGATCATAATGCTCCCCTCTAAGACAGACCTCCCTCCGTTTGGTGAACCGGTCACCGAGCATATCTACCATAACGGCAACACCATGTCTTGCCGTCGAAACTTCACTTTTCCTTTCAAACTTAAAAACAGATACGACTACTTGCCTTGGCTTCATGGGACTTTGGAGGAGGTGAGTCGTATTCTCGGGCAAGACGAATTCAATTACATTCTTCACTACCTCATTGATGGAGAAGAGGCTGCTAAGGAAAGTTTGCCCAAAGAGTACAGTTCAGAAAAGATATCATGGATCATTCACCACTGTGTTCAAGTAGTCGGTGCGCTTATTTCTTCTGGCATCAGCAATGGACTTCGTTCCTTGATACGTGGTTGCCTGTCAGATATGGAAAAGTGGAGACAGATGCACCAAACGGGTTTCAGATTTCGTGTTTCACTGTTCGTTGAGTATATCTGTAAGTGGGCTGATCAGCTTGCTGTTAATGCTTGGAGTGGTAAGCTGAACCTGCGGGAAACGATGAAGTATTTGGCTGCAAATTGTTTCACCAATGAGGAGCACTATTTCATGATGTTCTTCAATTCCCCAAAAGTTAGATCTTCTGAAACTCTTCAGAAATCGTTAATTGCGGAATATTTCAATAGTTTGGGCGTCGAGGAGATCAACCTTGCGGACCGAGTCACCCCACTGTTTGCGTCAACCAGGTTGTTTCTAGATGCTTTGCATGCGAGATACAGATACAAGGAAAGATGCACCCACTGCTGGAAAATAGGCCATGGAAAAGAGCATTGTTGGGTGAAGTATCCACATTTGAGGCCCAGGCCGGTTTTGAAGCGAAGGGCAAATGACCAAGGCAGAAAATGCTCAAAGAGACAGAAAAAGAGAAAGAGCTCCAGTCCCAAGAAACAAACATTAAATGTTGATCTTGATGGGTCTAAATGTCCCCTGAAACCCACGTTTTACTGGTCTACTCGCTCGACACGCCATGCTGTCAAAGACCGAAACTTACTCTATGACTTTGTGAGAAACCGCCAGGTCTTGAAGGATGCCTTTGGCAATAGGACAATTTCAGAGGGGTACGGAAAACTCAGTGGCATTGCTGCAAACGGACAACGGATCGTTTTGGAGAAAGTGTTTTATTTGAAAAATACTCCTGCCAATGTCATTGCCGCAAATTATCCAATTGCACAATTTGCAGTTAACTACAGTGTACCTGATCAAGCCTTGACGGACCACAAAGGTAGGAGACTCAACACTTTGGAATCGGACAGGATTGCCTTGCAGCTCCACAGCTGCTTACAGGTTGCCGAGGCTTGAGTCCCGTATTTCCATTTATTCGATCTGGCAATTCCAGTCTATATACACTTAAACCTTTTGTTTCTTCAAACCTTTTGTTTCTTCGATGCATGGCCCTCGTCCTCTGTAGACACAGTTTCTCCATTCTCCGCTGTCTCTTCATTTTCTATCGTCTCTTCTTTGGCCTCCGCCTCGGCCTCCGCCTCCGCTTCGGCCTCCTTCTCAAGAAGCGGCCTGAGCTTCTCCTCAACCTTGACAAACTCCTCAGCAACATCAATGTCCAGACCCTGGTCGAGCGCCCGCTTTAAAACAGGCCCCCAGAGCCTCTCGTCACGCTCCAAAAAGTCCAGAACCTGAAACGTATTCTTGCCCACCTCGTACTCGGCCTGCTTGGTTCGGTTCAAATACACCATATGCGCCGACAGCTCCACGGCACGGCCCAAGTCGCTGATCAAACTTCGGATGTAGGTGCCCAGGCCGACTGTAGTTGTGAGGCCGATTACGGGGAGTTCGTCTCGTGGAGGGGCATCTTGAGGAAGCATTCTGGGACGAATGAGGGTCACCTTTTCCAGATCAGGCACGCTTTCGTCCGCCATGAAATCGTCAGAAAAGATCAATTCCGAGTCGTTGAGCGTCAGGTTCAGCGCTAGCATGCTGGCGAGTGTTTTCCCGTCAGAGTCGGTCTCCAACTTCATCGGCTTATACTGAGGATCCACCGCCAAAGGCCCATGGACCCCGAACTCGTGGATAAACGCCTCCCTGGCCTTGATGGCTCGAGGAAGCGGGAGCCCTTTTCTGGCGTATTCATACAAAGGCATGCCGTCCACCTTCAATGCTGAAAACAACGGAGGTGTCTGTTTCCCCTTACCGGTGAACTTTCTAGCGGCATTCTGCAAACTTTCCACCGTAACGTGTTCCGTTTCCGTCCTCGTCAAAACCTCGCCCTCCGAGTCTCCCGTAGTAGTACTCTGGCCCAACATGGCCTTGGCTTCATACGTCTTCTTGCAGTTTCCTAGGAAATGGCTCAACTGCTTTGTTCCTGAACCAACGCCAATTATCAACACACCCTGCGCCATAGGGTCTAGCGTGCCGCCGTGGCCCACCTTGATGCCGAGCCTGTTGACTCTGTTTTGGATTTTGGTGGGTTTCCAGTTGGTACCAGCCGTAAGCTGTTCATGCTTGATTCTCCTGGCTTCAGCAAGATCGTGGGCAAAAACGTCCAGCTTGTCAAAAAGCTTACTGAGCTTGGCCACCACGCCCGACAGCGTCATGCCCGCAGGCTTGTCCACGGCAAATACTCCATTCATGTTTCGTGGGAGGTATCTGAACATGGCTTTTCGCGATGCCCTGAGATGGCGATGGGGTGGGTGGGGGTAGTATAATTGGTGAGGGATTGGGGGATGAAGAGATTTCGAGGGAATTGGGGATTATTGGTTTAGGAGATGGGTGGACGGTGACTTTGGAGGAATTGGGGGATTCGGGTTTTGGGTGGTGGTTGTTCGGAGTGGCTGCAAAATACGGTTGGAGGGTAGGCTATATGGATTATGGAGTGAGATAGGGCACAAAAAAGGCAGAATGGCCGTTTGTGGTTGAATTTGGCTAGAAGTAGGGGAAATGGGTTTAGTTGTGGAAGAGACGCTTTGTCTTTGTTGGGCATGTTTGGTTGAAGATAGGTGCGATGTGGAGGTCTACGGTGGATGGTATCATCCACGTTTCACGAGACGATTTCATGATCATGCAATTGAGTTGATATTAGTAGTGACCTTGTAAAGTCGAGTTTTGTGGTGTGTTAAGTGTCCGAATTGAGTGGTGCTTTGAGTGTCCGAATCAGGTTGAGTCTGGTTACCTGGTCCACTCCTACCGGTATCTCAGGCTGCTGAGTCAACCTGTCCAGAGTTCCGATATTGGATCGAGTTTTTTGGGCTTTGAAACCTTGGTCAACACCAGAGAGCTCAAACTATCAAAAAGCCAAGTGTGGTTGTGTGCTTCCATAGAAAGAAAATTATCCTAGTGTCCTTTCCTTGGAACTTTTCAGTGGAAGGCCAGTTGTCTGACTCAGAGGAAGGCCAGCCGTCTGATTCCGTGAAAGTCCACTTCAAGCTCCTCCAAAGCGCCAAAAAGCGCCATGCTCTGTATCGACATGAGGTCCATTTCAGCGTTCAGTGTCCCAACTGCCCACCCCCTCCTACTCCGACGGCTTGGGGATCTGGAAATCCAACGACAAGAAGCCGCTCTCCCTCACCAGAATCAACCGTAGCTGCGGGTGCCGTTTCGCCAAAAACGTCCCGTTCACCTCCTCCACATACTGGTCCAACCTCCCCAACTCCCGCTTCGTATACGGCTCTAGCGCTAGCCAGCCCCATATTCTCGAGTACAACGTGCCCGTCAAAAACTCCACGATGTTGTCCATCCACGTCCACGTGGAATGCAACGAAAAGGCATCCGCCAAAATGGCATTCACTGTCTTGACGATATCTTGTAGCTCCAGAGCCGAAAGAAGCAGCGGAACCAAGGGAGGTTTTGATGTTGTTCCAAAGACATTGCCATCGTAAAGCCCCAATGTGGGTTCTCCATAAACAGCAGCAGGCTCCTCTCCTGGGGTATACAAGGAGAACTGTGGAATCATATAGGAGTAGTCCTTGTCCTCGTAAGCCCGAGGAATCCTCACGATTCTGGTGTTTCTGAATAACTCCGAATCCTGAGGAGCATAGATGTTTGGGAAATGGTTCACCACAAGGCTGGGTGTATCATGGTGCTTCTCTTGTGTTGATACTTGGGACACTAGGGTAGAACCAGGGTTGCTGGGAGCCACTAGGAATTCGTGGTAGTTGAAAAAAGGAACCAGCGTGCTCAGAGTTTCGGCATATTTTGTAGAAGGATCATTCATAAACGTGGGAAAAGGCGTAGATGGATGGTGTTGTGGAGTACAAAAAAGAAGATGATTTCGCCCAGGATCGAACTGGGGACGTTCTGCGTGTTAAGCAGATGCCATAACCAACTAGACCACGAAACCGCTTCTGGAAAGTTGAAGCAGCTGGTTTACTATGTAGCAGTAGTTTTTGGGATTGATTATTTTGATATATTGAACTATTTCAATAGATGTCTTGTGTACTCAATATCACGCTCACAAATTTTGAGCCAATTTGAGCCAGCGATTGTGGAGATATTCGAGATTTTGTTCGCGATTTGACTACAGACTTACTTAACATACAGTCAATATGTGCAGGATGGTAGGTTTTGCAACCATTGAACCAAAAGACATTCATGACGGTATTACTACTTCAAATTAGAGACCTCTAAAATAGCTCAGCTTTCACACTCTATACTAGCGCTACATGGACGATAAATCGAAAATTTTATATGAGCAAGAAAGACGTACGGACAACACCAGAAGATTTTTGCAAACTAGGTTTGCGTGGATTTCATGAACATCAAGAAGCTCTAATAAGCCCGTGTTCGTTGACATTGGGTTACAAATGATAAGAAAAGCACACAGTGTGGCAGCAGGACCTTTGAAGATGTAGGTGAGTGAGACACCGATCCCGAAGCGACCTTTAATCAACGTTATCAGCAAAAAAAAAAAAAAAAGAAAGGCCTGCTTTATTACACCCACACCAACCATTGCCCGATCATCTTGAGTGAGAACTCAATCAATAAAGAAAGATCAAGAATAGCATCGAGCCGTGGGTGTGGGTAGTAAACGCACCCGAGAATACGCCGCTAACTGCCATGTTACCAAGCAACAAGTAGAAGCAAGCACAGATCTTAGACGATGTCAGATTCTGTTATAGCTGCTTAAAAGATGAATACCAAGATCTTCAATTCACTAATGGTGGGGATCAACACCATTGTATGGAACAAGTGATAGAGACGGAACGCAATGTCAGACTGGAAATTCATATGTTATCGAACCCACTCCGCAGAAACAAAAATTGGAAAACGTAAAAGCAGGTGGACGATTTTTCAGCGAAAGAAGCATAATTCTCGGGTTAGGTAGCTGGTGCTTATTTGTAAATCAACTCAACGAAGAAGGCGATGAACAATCACATCCAATGACGATATTTTAAGTAGTAGCATGAAGCCTCAAGGTAGGGTCTCGTCACACCTTCCCCTGGAAGACTTTCCAAAGCTATCTCTTAGCTACCAGTATGTGAGGTAGCTTTGGTTTAGCAGCGATGACCCCACGATCCTAGAAAAGATCACGAGGCCTCAACGATCCCAATGTGCTGCATTCTATTGAGATCTGACCAGGATTTCCCTGGAGGGTTCCACTTAATATCTGATCGTAAAAAAAAAAAAAGTTCGTCATGATTAGCCCAATTCCTCAGAAGTGAGATGTAGCTTCGTCAACGGAAAAGAAGCTGAGTTCATGACAGGCTTCAATGCCTCAGGGGGTTCAGCTGAAGCAATTAGCCCGAGTTCGTGACAATCGAATTGTTTTAGATTTGGATCACAGGCACAAGAGCCAATGCCAAAAACACGAACCCTGCTGGACCTGCCGATGAAGGGCTATTTAATTTTTCGAAACGTCCAACAAAAAACTTTTCAATAAAATATACCCTCCATCTTACTTCGGTAGATCCAGCAGGGAACTTGGAAGGATCGGGGTAACCCTTATATAGGGACGTGACGCACCCGTGCACCTTGAATATATAGAGATGGGAGCGACTTGAAAAAAAGGTTTAAATCTTTGCAACTTCTTCTTCTTAGTGTATGTACCAGTGCAGTGCCACCTCTGATGATACTTGTCCAGTCGGACACGCTATTAACCCAGCTCATTTGATATTTTGTTTGTGATAAGACTAGTATTTGCTGAGGCACCATTGAGAGATCTTTACTAACATAAAGCAGCATCCAGTGATGTGAATTGGAGGTTATTTGTTGTAGACATATGGAGGTGCTTTGCTTATCGGCATGTCCAGAATTGTGTTGGGTTTGGGGGTATCGCCGTATCGGGTTGATTCGTTGCTTATGAGTATTCGATGATGCTAATCTGCCACATCTTCTGCTCTTTGGAACCG